CATTAACATTATGATACAATTACCATGGTAAAAAAAATATGTTTTCATAATATTGTTTCATAACATTATAAGCAAAAGTAGATCTTTAACACCTCCACAAAAACATGAATGTTTTAGATATATTAATAATGTACTAATATTCAGAAAACATTTTAACAAGTGTATGGAAGAATAAAAATCAAATTTTATATTTAAACAATAAGCTGTACGTTTAATTATAATATATCATTCTTGTTGATTGATTTTTAATATAAATTATCACAATTTAATTAGATTGTTTTGAATTTTAAATTTATTTGAATGCGAAATGTGGCATGCGTCAAGGCAGTTGTGTAATGTGTATATTATGTTTTTTCGGAATATTTTTGTACTCGATGTTCGTTCTAAATGCATCTGAAAAAATTGTTTATAACTTTTATTTAATTTAAATGTTTAAATATATTATTTGTTGGTAGCTAAAACAATATAGTATTATAATTTATATTCTATATTTATTTTACACAGATAACATTTAATTTATACTATAGATACCTACCTATTTATGTTATAGATAGATACAATTTATGGCACCTACATATTGTAAATAAGTTACTTTCCTCCATCGAGACTAAAATATCCGATTGTAGTTTAGTACCATATTATTGTTATTTTCGTTATTAGTAATTTTTTAAGTATTGCCACTACTGGCTATTTATTAAGGAGCAAATTATTGGCAACCTAATTCACATATCGTTACGTGGTCGCACGATCTCGTGTGTACCAGTGGTGTATATACGAATTATTTTCACTATGGGGCATGGGCCAATTTATCAGTTATCACTAGTCAAGCACATAAAGACTAACATTGCCATAACTATACATTTTTTAGGGAGCTGGGTGGTTACAATTATGACATATTATACAGTACAAATAAAAATTGTGCAATTTAATTTTATAATTATTATGTAAAATTAATTTTTTGATTATTTTTTAAAAAATATTGACAATGTCATTTATATATTTTAATGTTATCATACTATGAATTTAACATCAAAGTCAATAAGTCATCAAAGCAAGTCCTGACAATCTAACATTTCCTTGTTGATTCCTCAAAAACGATTTTAATCTACCGGCTAACTTAATCATGGTGAAAAACTGTAAACAGTGTAAATAAACATGCTGGAATGCTTTAATTGAACCTGAAATTTCAATATGGGCTCTGGCCTAGCCCCCCCCCCCCCTATGTACGCCACTGACTTTTACTTGGTAGTAGTGTAGATGGTAACGCCCACGCACTCGCAGGTACATGTCAGGGGAGGTAACAAAATATAACGAAATATTAGTTGACCGTTTGTCCGTTTCGGTTGTTTCAGCGGACAACAACAACTTCACGGTAATATGGATAACTCGCGGGCAACTGAATATTTTCAGATAATATTTTTTTAATTGATAAACATCATTCTACGGCTCTAATTGAACTCAGATGTTTTATTTGATTTTAAAAAATGGTGTAAAAAAATTGTAAAAAAAAATATAAATCTTCTTTTTTTAAGACTTATTACGAAGTTTTAAATTAAAATATTGAAAACCAAAATTCAATGCGCGCTGTAGAATATTTGACCTTCCAGTAAACTTTATTTTTTGTTATAGGTAGGTAAACTTATGAAGAATCTTCTTGTTACATTTTCAAATCTTATATAGATATATAAAGAATATTTTATCAAAATTCTAACTACAGACGCTCATAACAAATAAATGTGAATTTAAGCTCAATTAAATTTTTTAATTACACTAATTACTACTTATGAGAAACCTTATATTCAATTTTCAATTTTCTTGATTGAGTGAAAAATATTTTATTGACTAACAATACGTACATTATTAAATATTTATAGTTCCTACAACATTTAAATTAGGTCATACTACTCGTAACAGGTACTTGTACCATAATTGGTAGAGAAAATACAAGAAAATTAGGACAATATTTTATGCATTATTTATAAGTTATAACGGTTATAGTGCTATACTGTTATACAATGGGTGACTTATTGAGGATTAATTAAATATAGAATTTCCCAACGTTATGTTTTGTGTATTTGGAAATTAACTATAAGAATTAAATATATATATTTCTTACAAATTTACTTCTTAAAAATAATTGTAGATTTATGTTGATGACATTTTTGCTTCTTGACCTAAAATCTTTAAATGTAATAGGTAGAAGGACCCTCATATAAGCTGTACGTGGTATAATAAATTTGTTAAAATTACAAACATTTGCAACAAATATTTTTTTAGTTGTACAATCACTTAGCCAAATCTCATTACATAAAATTCCACTCAAAACTTCGTTCACATTCAAATCTACCAATTAAAAGTCTATCCACTACCTCACTGTCCTCACTCATTCCTAGAAGGTTAAAAATAAAATGGCCAAGAGACCTGCTCAATGCTTAAAAAATAAAAATATTAAATAAAGAGAAACTATAAAAAAAAAAAAACAAAACCTAATTTCTGGTCAGGTGGCACTGCGGGAGCCTTCTTATTAATGTTATTTTTCTGTCTAATTTTCTTATGTCACCACACTTACTCATTATACCTTGTCTATTGTACCTATAGATTGTAAATATACTTTTTTTAAATAAAAAGTTATACATTGATAGAACTTTCAATTAGAATACTTTATGAAATTTAAAATAGTATATGTACCCATAAGTAGGTATGTTATTTATATAATATATTTTAAACTGATAATTGATGCACATCTTTCCCACTTGATCTACATCAAAACCTACAGTATTTTTAAGACCTTATCCTTTTTTAAGGATATTTTGTACCTTTAAATGTTTATGGTTTATATTGTTTAAAGGAGTGTTTCATTTAATAAATATATTGAAAGCTAAGTTCTAGGGCATCTTGTTGGCTTTTTTACTATATTTTATTATTAAAGCTAGTTTTGTGTCACAAACAATTTACAAAAAGCTCCTACTGATATGCGTTTATTGATATATTGTAAGACACGGAGTACGACCTTAAGACATATCATGTTTTGTTAGACACATTATGATGTAGGCAGATATTCCAATGTCTTAAAAACATTTTTACAATATATATTGATAAATTATTAAATCACTGTCTGGTTTATTACAATGCTAAAATGTAAGAGCCCTAGAAATGTTTTAATGCAACAACACATACAGGGTCCTTATCATGTCACGAGTAGTAACGATTTGTATGTGTGTTGCAATTACTGAACTGCGTTACAACTTATAATTGCTTCAGTAGAGAATCAACATTTTCACGATATTTAAATATGGTACAAATCGTGCCGTGTACAAAGTTTCATAACTGTTGGTAAAGTATTATGGATTTGAGAGTTTGCAGTTAGCAGTTTTCCTGTGAGCGCCGGCCCGTACTATTGCAGTATTACTGATTTGCATATGTGAAGAAATTTCTGAACTGCGTTATAGCTGCATGGGTTTTCGAGTAAAAGGCTGGATTTGCGTATAAACGGCATATCCACGGGTTTCAAAAGAAATAAACTAAACAAATAGAGCACATACGGCAAATGAAAAGACGAAACGAATAGAGAAAGGTGAAAAAAGCGATAATAACGACCGACGGCTGGCGTCGATTGCGTAGGCTACGGACAGGTTTCGGGTACAAACCGCAACATCCGTGGCTTTAAAAACAAACGAACTACGCGAATAGAGGAGTGACGGGGATGGGAAAAGGTCGGAAAGTCGAAAAACGAAGTCATAGAGAAAAATTTTCGAAAAACGTTGTATATTATCATAAATGTTCGGAAAATTTGATAACTGATAACAAAAAAGCGAGATAACCGTCCGCCACGGACTAAGATAGTCTATATCTTAGTCCGTGCCGTCCGCTAAGGAAATCGGCCGATTGGTTAGAAGCGGAGCGGCGTTGATGACAAAATTTGATTTTGTTGATAAACGATAACACGTCAACAATGATAACAAAAATAACAGCTTCTCTATTATTCGAGTTCTTAGCATCTTTTATTTAGTAAAAGAAAGTTTCTAATATAATAATACAATATTCAATATTAATTTGGATTTTATTCTATTCCAATTTTTGCTTGTTGTTAACTGTTAATTTTAACAAGTGTATTAACGCAACATCTACTTAAAATGTTGCTAAAAGTATATTCCTATTTTATAGGCTTTTGCAGGGATTAACTATGTTACTATGTTGTATTATTATTGTTCCATTTGTTTCATAAAATATAGCACATCTAGCTTATAGGAATTATAAATTAAATTGATAATATTTAAATAAAATTGTAAGTAAATTTACACGTGTTAATTGAGGAATAGTCGATTAGTGCAGTTTTCAATTGTTTTTTATTTTAAATATTTGGTTGTAGGTCACTTTGTAAGGTTGCTTGTTTAAAATGCATAACCCGGACAATTTTTACGGTCAGGTAAAAAGGTACATTGTAGAACGCGGATACTTTGTACGGTTGAGTAAAAGTTAAAAATGTGTACAATATGGCGAATTGGCAAGTAAAAATTACTTCTGATAGGTAATAACTCACGATTCTATCTTATTTGGAAATTTGGAATGTATAAGATAATTAGATTTACCAAGTAATATTTAGACTTAATAACATGGTCTGGTCATGACTTCAGATATTTATATATTAAATATATACTTTTATGTATATTAGTACAAAGTGTCTGTGTTCTGCAATTTAAAGTTTTACCTGATCGTACAAAGTGTCCGCGTTCTGCAATCTACCTTTTTACCTGACCGTAAAAATTGTCCGGGTTATGCATTTTAAACAATTGACCGTACAAACCTTTTACCTAAATATTTGTATGCTTACATATTATAACAAAATAATTGGTTGTTGCTATTTGTTTCCATTAAATGATTACTTCCTCTCACTGTTTCCACTGTTAAAATTTTAATATTCAACTATTTAAGTAAATGTATTATATATTATAAAAAATTATGAATTTTATATGAATATTATTTTGTTGTAGATAATTAAAATGTTGAGATACAGAGGAAAGAAATTAGCACTTAATATTGTAAAAGAATTGGATTCATTTCCAAAGGTTCAAGAAGAAATTTATGAACCATCTACTTATAGTAATGTTATACGTAAGATCATCATAAAAACATATTTGATCAAATCTTTACGTTAATATTATGTACTTTTAAGTTCTGGTATTAATTTGTATTAGCTATAATTATTAAATTGTTTATTATTAAATTAGTAATAATATTATGATTTTCAGTGACAGTTTTGATTTCTGTGTTTGGATTATGGTTATTGATTTCTGAAATACAGTATGTTTTACAAGAACATTATATATACAGATTTGTACCAGACACGGACTATGAATCTAAACTTCCAATTAACATAGATATTACTGTTGCATCGACTTGTGATAGTAAGATATTTGTTGTTTTTAAAACACAATAGGGTTTTTAATTAAATTTGTTTTTATTTTTTTAGGTATAGGTGCTGATATTGTTGATACAACAGGACAAAATATGATGTTATTTGGAGAATTAAAAACTGATGATACTTGGTGGGAAATGTCAAAAGAACAGCAACAACATTTCGAAAAAATGCGTGAACTGAATGCATATTTAAGAGAAGAATATCATTCAATGAAAGACATATTATGGATGTTTGATGATTATAATACATTAAAAAATAAAATATTTGTTAGGTAAGTAGTGTTAGGTAATTGATCCTGTAAAAATAATATATTATTATTTGCCGGGTTGCATAAACAATTACTAAATATTGAATGAATCAATAGTGAGCTACTAGTTCCCTTTAACATAATTTAGTGGCCCATGAAATGGTCCTTTACATTTTAGTGAACCATTAAATTGATAAAGTTTTTATGCAACTTAGAATATTAGTGGTTAAAATACTATTTTCATTATTGCAAAACAATTTTTATAATCACTATTTATTGTTGTACAATTTGTTAAATAAGCTTATACATAATATTATATAATATAGTATAATTATTGGGTATAAACTAAACCATTTTAGAATTATGATCGTATACTAATTATTGTTGTGTAATATTAGTAGGGGAACCTAATGCTTAAAACATTAAACCCTATTGTACAAAATCCTCTACTTAATGCAGCTTTAAATTTACAAAAAATAAATGCTTGACAATGTAATTAATAATTTCATGATCAAATAAATAATTAAAAAATGTTTTACTTCATTATAAAAACAACAAATTAATGCCTTGTAAGTTGTGACCAAATTTGTGTTCAGAATAACCAATATCATGCTGTTAGCTATAACTTATATTTCGTCAAACTTATATTTGAGAAAATATTTTTTAAAAACATTATCTGTGTTTGTGAATGTGCTTTATTTTAAGATCTTTCAATTTTTATGCATATTATAAGAATATGTAACTTATAAAATTAAATAAAAATATTCAATTTGAAAATGCTCATAATATCTTGCTTTATAATATTGAAATATCATATAAAAGCCTACGTACAAATACAGATAATGTTAAATTTAAGCTTGATTATAAGTCAATTCACTCTAATACTAAAGGTAACCACACACGATTGGCATTCTGCTGAACTCAAATCTGCAGAATTCGGCCAGTTAACTTTAACTGGGCATTGTAAGAACGGCCATTAGTAACATCATTATTTTATCAGTAAAAACATAAAATAATTTAAGAAACAATTTTGAAATTGAATATCAAAAAAAATGTTTATTATTTATTCTACATTATAATTTTATATATTTAATATGGGAGCAAATTAAAATCATTTTGTTTTTTATTTTTTAGGACAGACAAACCAAACACTTTACCTGATGCATGTCGCATACATGGGTCATTAATTCTGAATAAAGTGATAGGAAATTTCCATATAACTCCTGGCAAATCTCTAATAGTTCCAGGTGGTCATGTGCATCTTACTGGTCCATTTTTTGGATCAGAGGCTACTAACTTTTCTCATAGAATCAATCAATTTTCATTTGGTGTTCCGGCAAAAGGGATAATATATCCATTAGAAGGAGAACTGTATGAAACAAATGAAAGTAAAAAATATAGATTGTTTTACATTGATATACATTTTTATAAGATTTGTTCACATTAATTCATTTATAATTGTATTTTATATAGATGCTGTATCCTATAAATATTTCATAGATGTGGTAGCTACAGATGTTAAATCGCATTCAAATGAAATAAAAACTTATCAGTATTCAGCAAAAGATATACAAAGAATAATTGATCATAATACTGGTTAGTACAATAAGTAGTGCCCCAGAATTTTATCTAAATGTATATATTTTTATGTTATATATTTGTTATACATCTTTGATATTCTTTCCGTATTATATTATTATGTTTATGCAAAAAAATACTTAAAAATGGTATAGCATTAAATATGAATATATTGAAATTTTTTTGAAATTTATTTTTAACTTAAATTGAAACAATTTAAATGGGAATAATAGGCAATTATAAACTTATGTAGCCAATATTTTGATTATTTTAGGCTGAAAAAAGCTTACAGTAAAAATTTAAATAAACTTTTATATTAAATTTAAATTATTCTATTTAATGTTTATATGAGTATATGAGTATTTTTTAGCTGATCAAGTATTTAAAAATAAAAATTAACTAAAGAATAGTAATATAGAACACTGGGCATTATGAGATGTCAATATATTGTTATTATTATTATTATTATTCAGAGTCAAGTGTAGAAAAATATGCATTTACATAAAAATCTAGGAATTAATAATTAATTCATAAGTTATAAGAAAGCGTATAATTATTTACCCGTATTACATGACTAAATCATTGAAATGAAAATAATATAACAAAAGGCTAAAAATATTTTTGACATTTTATTTCTTTGCTTTGGCGCATAGAATCGAAAAACATTACCTTACATAAAGCGTTACGGAAAAAAAATTGCAAAATATCATTTTTCTCATCCGAGATTCTAACTCGATATATGCGCTTATCACACGATAGTTAGGTGCGACTGCACTGACACTCAATGTGTTTAATAATTCGGCCATTTGAGCATGTTGCAAAAGTCGGACGTGGACGGTACTCCACGCTCCGAGAGCATCACTCCTCCACAATAAAAAAAAATTGTGTACCAATAGCAGTCGTGTCTTTATTTTTTATCAATTACCCTATAAATTTTACCTAGGTATGTGCTACATATGATAAAAAGAACAGCAAAGACATAAAATGTGGTACTTCATTGCAGACTCGTATGCACTATGTTTGTTTTTATATATTAAATTATGATTAAAACTATTGCTAGCTAACATAGTCACAAAATACTTTTATTTACTTATGTAACGTTAAACTTCTCTTTATTTTATGTCTTTAATTAGTAATTTATTAATACACCCATATTACATTTTTATAACTAATTATATTTTAGGGAGTCACGGTATGCCTGGTATTTATTTTCAATATGATATAAATGCACTCAAATTTATCATCACAGAAAAAAGAATTACCATGTTTCATTTAATTATTGAAATAGCATCAACTATTGGGGGTTTGTTTTTATTGTTTAGTAAGTATATTGACAAATTACAAATACTATACTATAAACTAATAACTTATTTATAACAATAATTTTTTTCCAGATTTTATGAAGATTCTATTAGACAAGTTCACAAAAAAAGTATTTTCCTTCTATACAACGGATAACGTTGATACTAGAGAAAAGTCCTTAAATTATAAATAACAATAATTATAATAATAATTAATATTATAATACAACTATATAAATTAATAGGTATATATTCAAATTATAATTTTTTTATCAAAGATTTAAAAAAGTATTGGGTGCTACTCCAGCCAAATTAAGAAGATGCTTCACTCGCAAATGTTGTCTCCTTCTCAGAAATGTACAATATAGCAAAACTTGTTTTGCTCGAGATAGATCAACTCAGGCTGTAGTGAGGACTCCAAATTGATTTATAAAATAGTCTGTGAAATATTGTATTCATTTTTTTAATATGTTCTTATACAAAAAAAGTTCTTAGTGTTTCAAATCCATTATTTTTGTGTTTTTCAACTTTTTTTTAGTTCCGATATCAAATAAATTAAAACAATATTTCACAGCCAAAGTGGATTTTATGTGGTGAAAATTGTATTTTTGAGTTATGACTGTAGCCTTTTTGGTTCTCTCCAGCTTAAAACAATTTTTGCTATGTAAGACGAAGACAACACATACGAGTGTAGCATCCTCTTAAGACAGACTTTTGGGCTGTGAGACATTCTCTCTCCGTAACATGTATTTATAATGTACAGAACATTTCTTTCGTTAAAACAAATTTATTGAGTCTTACATGCAATAACTGAAATATAAAATACGAAATACCTATTACGTTCTATTAAAATTATTATAAAATATTAAATTTAAAATGTTTCTTTGAATGTATGGGAAAATAAACAAAAATTGAGAAAATTAAATGATGAAACTTAATAAGACACTGATAAAATTTAAAATTGAATTCCCCATTGTGAAAACTTAATTTTTCCCCCAGAAATTAATTTTTCTTTGGTATGTTACTAAACTATAATAAATTTAATTGTTTTTTATTTTCGGTTGATTTTTTTTGTGCTGTCCTTTTTTATTTTTCTTAATATCACGAGTCTTAATGTAAATTAAGTATTTTCTGAAATGCATTTGTATTTTTCGAGCGGCTATCTTGCGTTGTATTTCATGTAATTTTGCGTGCCAAATTCTATCATTTTCCTCTTCCTTTTCGAGTATCACATTATTGTAAAACGGCATTTGACGTGAAATGGATTCCTAAAATATAAAACAGAAGTTCAAACCAATCATCAATAATTACACTTCGCTAAATTTAGCTAGGTTAATTGTATCGCTGCGTTATTCTAAAAGCAATACTAAACCATTTATTTCCTATATCCAAACCGAACGAATGATAATTTTTTTAATAATTTTTATTACGTTTATAAGTAGGTAATACAGAAAATCTATTTATTTGTTTGCTTCAAACATGTTTATAACAAATATGGAGGTACTGGTTATATTTTTCTAATAGTCTAGTATGGTAGTAGGTAGGTTATCAAAGAATTGTTCACCTCCTGACAATGATTATGGTTTGTTCTAGAGACTAGGATATTCTGATAGTGAGTGTATACTGTGTATAGTAACTACTATAGTCTATAACATCTATGGTCAACCCAAATATTCTTGCTGGCCAAATATAGGGTTGCCAAAAAAAAAAAAAAAAAATCAGCCAGTAAAAAATATTAATATAATCACATGTTTTATTATTCAAAATTATAAAAGTATTTTGCCCCAATACAAAAAAAATTACAAACATTATAAACAAAATTAATTATTATAAAACAAGTTTTGGTGTATTAATTATTTTTGTAAATATTTGATAAATGTCGCGGGCCGCAAAACTTTCCAAGGAGGGCCACGGGTTGGCCATCCCTGGTCTATTACTATAACTGATATAATGATATAGGTACCACAGAATAATAATTTATTCTGTGTAGGTACTGGTATAATAATTAATAATTAAACATTGTAATTGCTCAAAAAAAAAATGTTGTTATGTTAAATTAACTATCCTTTATTTTGATTATACCTAGTCAATGCCTATTAGATTTCTAGTATTCAATATCCAACATCAGTGTTTATTTGGAGTACCTGCCAACTCGGCAGTAATTGAACATTTTTTTGATTTTTTTTAGAATGTTTTAATATTAAACTAATGATTCCTTATCGGTGTTTGCTGCAGGCAGTGTCGCAATGATACGTTTCGTCCAATTAAGTCGACAATAACCTATTATTATAGTTACATTCGTCCTGTTTGTTTTATCTATGGTTAATATACCTTTATATTTATGTAGGTACCTTCTTTGTATAATTGCATGATAGACCTATAAACTTAGTTTTTAGGTCTTGGAATTGCACCCTTTGGCTACCTGATACAGGGCTGAGCAGTATCTTAGATACAATTGTATCCAGGCCCCCCACATCAAATTGTTGGCCCTTATACCGGGCTGTACTAAAGCTTTTTGAAGGCAATATAAAAACTGTCCAACAAAATACAACATATTACAAGTGATGCGATTGTCCCATAAACAATTTTCACAAGATTTTTATTTTTATTATTTTTATTAGGGATATAATAAAATATTATTTAATATAAAATAAGTATTTCCATCAAAATTTTGAAAATTTCAAATTTATTTCAATAGGTCCCTGAACTCCAGGTCCAACAGCCCCCCCCCCCCCATCATCGGGGCCCTGATTGTACCATGCGTATCTTGAATACCAATACAGTTATAAGAATGCACCTACCTATCGAGTATTTTATTTTGCAATACATTTTTAGTCAATGTATTTAATATTTCATAGAAAAATGTCATCAAAAGATACTTATTCAATACTTTGAAACAATTATTTTTAACAACTTACTAGTATATACTTAGATAGTAGGATATACTCTACGTATGGTTTTATGGGCTGACTATGGGATGATCCTACTATATTATATAGATTATAGCATGTAGGTTATATTTTATGGTATAAAGGTATTAGACTATAAATTAGCTGGTATAGGTAATAATATTTAATTGTATTTGATAAGAATAAATATTTAAATACCTATACTTAATAATAATTATTATAATATTTATGATAATTATTATCTTATTGTAAAAATACTTTTTATTCGATCAACACTCTTCAGTACCTGACAAACTTACGGAAACGTGTGGTTTTCATGTTTTTGCCTCCAGAATTCATAAATAATGTTACCAAGAACAAATTGTCTGATGTTACTTTCGAAAAGTTATTATTTTTAAAAAGAAACAAATTAGGTATATACATAATAATAACCCTGGATAAAATGGCTGTAGATACATGCAATTTTCACTGAATGTTTATAATAGCAATTTCTATTGGTACACATAAAACTTTCAAGATATTTTGACTTGCTTTGAGCTGTTTACGGACATTTTAAGTTACCAATTTTAGATTCTGAGTGGAACGATAAATGTATTGATTTTACAATGATGTGTGTTTTTTTTGTGTCTCTATGGACGATAAGTAGTCGAAATAATGCTTCGATTTTCAACTTCAGTACCTATCTTGTTCGATGGGAAAGTGAATATATTGCATTGGAGGTAATCAATATTTTCAAAAGCGCAGGGAAAAACAACTTAAAAATTAATTAAAAACGAGAAATTTCACTCAAAATCGATTTTGGTTTTTGGTGTAACTCTAAAACAAATGAACGTATATACATGACATTTTCACTGTTTGTTTATATTTTAATTTTATATAGGTACACGATCAAATTTTCAAAATATTTAGATTTGTTTTGAACTGTTTAGGAACATTTTCAGTTTAAAATTGTATTCGTCTTTTTCTCTATTAATGTAAATAAAACTTTATTTGTTGGCCAAAAATTCTTGAAAATTTAATACTAGGCTCCTACTATAGTGTTAAAATGACATTTGAAAAATAATAAAAATCCTTAGTCACAGTTTTTTTTATAAGCATTTAAAGTTCAAATCTTGACAAAATACGGAAAAATCACGAAAAGTAGCAAATCATTTTAAGTTGCGAATTCATAAAAATTTTCTTTTTAAATCTAAGATTTGAAAATTTAATATTAGATTTTTCATAATTCAAATTAAATTTTTATGAGCGTTTGAAGTTCATATTTTTACAATATTGGATATTCACTCGATTTCTCATGTAGCGGTTTTGTTATTTTATTGCTATTCAAAAACGAATAACTGTAGATACTATAGATACATGAAAATTTTACTGAATGTTTATATTTTCAATTTCTATACACCATAAAAATTTTGAAAATATTTTGAATCTTTTTGAGCTGTTTATACGGGCATACGCAGTTTTCAATTTTTTTAGTTTCTTTTTCTATAAATATCAATACAATTTGAATTGTTGGGTAAAAAAGAGTGAAAATTTAATGCAAGGCTCCTGATATATTGTTACAATAGCAGTTGAAAAATATAAAAAATACATTGGCTCAATTATTTTTATAAGCATTCAAAGTTCGAATTTTGACAAAATTTAATAAATTTAAAAATTTAATAATTATTTTGTAATTAAAAACTTATAAAATGTTCAAATTTTATAGCTAATACATTTTTCTACCTTTATCAAAAAAAAAAATGTCTACAAGAAAGTCAAATTAAATTTTTATGATTGTTTGAAATTCATATTTTTACAACATTTGATATTCACTCGATTTCTCGTGTAACGATTTTCTTATTTTGTTGTAATTAGAAAACGAATGACTGTAGATACTTGAAAATTTCACTGAATGTTTATATTAGCATTTCCTATACACCATATAATTTTGAAAATATTTGGCTTTTTTTGAACTGTTTACGGACATTGCCAGTTTTCAATTTTTTTGTTTTTTTTTCTATAAATATCAATAAAATTTAATTTGTTGTGTAGAAAAGCATGAAAATTTAATGCAAGGCTCCTAATATATTGTTACAATATCAGTTGAAAAATATTAAAAATATATAGGCACTGTTTTTTTTTATAAGCATTTAAAGTTCGAATTTTGACAAAATGTATCAAATTTAAAATGTAATAATTATTTTGTAGTTCAGCATTTTTAAAATGTTCAACTTTTATACCTAAGGATTGAAAATTTGAAAAAGAGTCCACGTAAATAGGTAAATTACTTTATTCACAATAATATCATCAAATAATAAATATACTTTGTAATATCATAGGCTGACTGACCGTTTTTTTTTCTATGAATGTCAATAAAACTTAATTTGTTTTCAACTTTTATAGCTAAGTATTGAAAATTTAATACAAGATTCCACGTAAATAGGTCATATATAAATTACTTTATTCGCCTTAGTATCATCAAATATAGGTACTTCTTAATATCATAGGCTGACTACCGTTTCGCTCAGAATCGTTTTTCTTATACAATGATTTTATATCATTGAATTCAAATTTAATACCATCCATTATACAGTGACCCACTTGTAACCTACTGTACAGCAGAGCCCCTTTTTTAATTTATGACTGGTTATCCATGTTAAAAAATTTCAACTTCAAACGCTCATACAAAATTAATTTGACTTCCACTAAATATTTTTTTTTTAAATGTGTGAAGAATAATTTAGTATTAATTTTTCAAATCTTAGATATAAGTTAATAGAATTTTTTTATAAATTTATAACTTAAAATAATTTATAAAGTTATAAGATATTGACAAAATTCTAACTTTAGACGCTCATAAAATTTATTGTGAATTCTTCTTTTGTTTTAATTTCCACTAACAAAAATGTATGAGAAATGTTGTATTAAATGTATTAAATTCTCAAGTTTTCTTACTGAACGAAAATTATTTTATCGACAATAATTAAAAAGTCTAAATGTTCTTATGTCTATAAATAGCTCTAAACGAGTCTAAATATTGTAATGGTGTTTGGAAAATGCTAATAAAAACATACGGTGACAATTTTAAGTATCTAAGGACTACGGTAATTAGGTTTTAGTTACATAAAAATCCCCTTTTCCTTTAATTTTTTTTTTAATTTTTCCATTTGCTTTTGAAAGCTACTGGGAATTTTTAATTTTGACCTCTCAAAAGTACCAACTAGACTCACTTCACCATCAGAAAAGATGCTGAAGTGGATAATCGAATCATTAATTCTACTATTGGGAAGACAGATTAATACTGGGAGCGCTGTCGACGGCTATCGTACTGATGGTTGGGCGGGAGTCGGGAGATTGTATGTATTTTCCCGACATTTCGCATACATTTTGCTTTAAGTGAAGTGAATTTGAATGTATTTGATAATATTAGTAGAAATTATACTTACCAACGTATACAGTTAGCTATAAAATCGTATAAAGTTTCGATAGCAAAATTAATTTATTATAAAAATTAAAATAACCAATATAAAACTATATCTATACATCCCAAATTGGAAGGTACAAATTGTTTCCACCAAAGCGCGTTTTGTTAATCTGCTTCCCTAGTAAAAATGTTTACAGACAGAAAAAATAACGTATCATGGAAAATCAATACATTTATCGCTCCTCTCAGAATCTAAAATAAAAATAAAAATATTACATGGTGTAGATATGAGGCAATAAATCATAATATGGAAAAAAAATATTGATTGGAACAAAAGTTATTTAATTTGTCTAGTCTTCCTGTTACACCTGTATATATTATCAATTGAGTATAATATATTATATTCATTGGCATATAGGTATTAAAAAATAATACCTAGGTATACCTAGGTACAAGTACTACCTACTTATAGAAAAATTCACCTATTCTACTCACTTGCAATTGGTAAATGGTATCTTCAATTTTTTTTATTTTTGAATTAAATCCATTCACGTTATTGTATTTTGCCATCATCTCGGAATCGTACGTATGCACTATTAGAGCTTTTTTGATTTTTAAATCGTTCCTAACATATAAGAAAATATTTTCATTATTCGATTTACACACCTAACTAAAAATTATTATTTAGGTACATAATATAATATTATACTATTTTGCAATTTGTCTCATTATTATATGTTGCTTTAGTAACTACATGTCACTATGTCAGTGGCAGCTATGTTCCTACCTGAAGAAACTCCATTTTCACAAATGACAACAATAATGATAAAGGCATTAAAAAACGATAAAAACTTAAATAAACAATATTTTAAAATTAAAGGCTTACAGATTGGTACCCCCTACACATGTATATTTACCTGATTTGCATACGGCTATTTTTGTTAATCTCGTTATTTTTTGCGTTCGCCTCAATTTTTGATTGCAAACTGTTCGCATCTAATTGTAAATTAACAATTTTATTTTCGTGTTCTTTCATTGCTGCAACAATAATGGCTTCCGATTTCATTCTAAAAATATAATATCTATGGGTGATTAGGTATATCTATATAATTACAATTTACAATACATTGCACGTCATTGTATATCAGACTTGGGTAGGTGTTGGACATAGGTAGGTACTATCAATTATCATTGATTAAATATACTGTATATTGTACTGTATATAGTGGTGAGTTGTCAGTCGGTAAATTGTTGGTAGGTAATTTTATTTAAAGTTTAAACTAATAAAGTACCTATAACAATAGTAATTACAGATGGTTGGAAGAACTCCATGGGTGTCTATATATTTGACTTTATTTGCACAATAAATGATATGTATGTGAGCAGACACTTTCGAGTTTCGATTAGATATGAAGTATCTTCTATATAGTATACTATCTATACCTATCTATGGAAAAGTAAGCTCTGCCCGACTCAGTCATGAACATTTATACTCTGTAATACAAATCTCAACCTAAATATATAGTTTTCAAGCTGATATGTATAAACAAATTATTAATTAACCAATGAATCACATTAGTTTACAATTTTACATTTTAAAATTTTTAATAGTACCTATGCCTATACCTATCTAAATACCTAGGTAGGGACCTACCTGGTAGGTACTAAGAAATGTTCGTACCTAATAGTAATTTTTTTTGATTAAACACTAATAAACTCACAATGTATTAAATACATAGTGAGTTTTAGTGTCCAATTTTAATAGTATATAAAGTAAGTAATTAAATAATAATTATTAATAATTGCATTTTTAACAGCAATAAAAATATTAGTATTATGTGTAAAACTTTTTTTTTTATTAATGTGGCCTTTGTGTCTCATTTGACGTTGGCCCTAGGTTTAAAATATCATATAAATGTATTATACTTTATGAGGCAAGGTGGATCGTGGGTTTACATATCCATGTTGTTATAAGGGATTATAATATATATAATATATAATATATATTATATAAATACCTCCTGGCTAATAATAATAAAATATTTAGTAAGTACGTTGGAAAATAATAAGATAAATATAAATTCGTTTTAGTATAGCGAAATGTACAAACATTTTTTTTTTCATGACAAACTGTAATTGGCGATCAACAACGTTGAAATAATGTTCGATTTGATTTTTTCTGTTGATTTTCGCCTGCACGTCATGTTTAATTTGTTCATACTTTTGCTGTTCCTTATTTATAGCAAATAGTTTATAATCGGCGATGTTAGAGAAATCCTTTTTTACATTTCGTTTAAAAATTGTTTTGCCATCCGCTTCTAATTCTTGAGTTACTCCATTAACAAATTGGATGCTTAAACTTATGTTATGTTTCACTGTCAAGGACTCCTTTAACATAATTAAATAATATAAACTCACGGTATACCAATATGACATCGCAATATCGCATGCTTCTAAAAGTAGGTAGGTATATATAATATTATCAGCAAGGTAGAGAATCGTATTTGGTATAAAAAACAATGAAATAGGTGCATGGATTATGCATACAATATACGCCGTATAGGTAGGTATACTAAAAATGTTGAATAATCAAGGTAAAAAGATAAGTATCTATCTACGTATGCAATTGTTTTCCATGCAAGTTATTAAACGAGTCTGACGAGTAATATAATAAAGCTTGAAAATTTAATATAAGGCTTCTAATATATTGTTACAACGATTTTTTAAAAATATTAAAAATTCATAAGCACAATTTTTTTTTTATTAGCATTTAAAGTTCAAATCTTGACAAAATACGTAAAAATCACGAAATTGAGCAAATTATTTTAAGTTAGAAATTTATAAAAACTTTTTTATTATACTAGAAACATGAAAATTTTAATGAATGTTTATATTTTCATTTTCTATACACCATAAAATTTTGAAAATATTTTGAATCTTTTTGAGCTGTTTGCGTACATAGTCAGTTTTCAATTTTATTAGTTTTTTTTTCTATAAATATCAATAAAATTTGAACTGTTGGGTAAAAAAGAGTGAAAATATAATGCAAGGCTCCTGATATATTGTTACAATAGCAGTTGAAAAATATAAAAATACATTGGCACAATTATTTTTATAAGCATTTAAAGTTCGAATTTTGACAAAGTTTATAAAATTTAAAAATTTAATAATTATTTTGTAGTTAAAAATTTATAAAATGTTCAAATTTTATAGCTAAGGATTGAAGTTTTAAAACAGGGTTCCACTTAAATAGGTTATATATAAATTACTTAATTCACAAAAATATTATCAAATATGCTTAGTAATATCATAGGCTGACTGACCGCTTTAGCTCAGAATCGTTTTCTTATACTATATGTTATTATTACCTATATATGAAAATTCTCGTGATTGATGGATTTTGTTAAAATTTTAACTTAAAATGCGTATTAAAAAAATCATAATACTTTGTGTCTTTAATATTTTTGAACTGATAAATATTAAAATAAATGTTATCATGTATAAACAATGATAAAATAAACATTTAGTTTAATTTTAGTTTTAGATTCTAAGTGAAACGATGAATGTATTGATTTTACAATGTGTGTGTTTTTTTATTTTTATTTTTTTATTTTATTTTTGTGTCTGTCATCACCTTTTAGTACAGTAAAATTACTTTGATTTTATTCAACAGTATCTTTTCTGATAGGAAAGTGAATATAGTTGGTACATTGGGGGGTCAAAAGTAAAAATTTTCAAGTAGTTTTCAAAAGCGCCTTGAAAACAAATGGAAAATTAAGGAAATCAGGAATTTGAACGCAAAATCTGTTTTTGAAAAAATTGATTTTGGTTTTTGGTGCAACTCAACAAGTTACCTTAGGTAGGTACGTGAAATTTTGATTGAATGTTTATATACACATTTTCTATACACCATAACATTTTTCAAATATTTTGACTTATTTTGAGCTGTTTATAAGGCTGTTTACGATATAATATGGTATAAATCAAATTGTATAGATAAATATAAAAAGTTTCATACTATAAATTATTCATCATAAATTGAAAGGTAATTAGCAGAGGTAATTTAAAAAAAATGTAGTTTGTTATGATAGGAATTCATTTTCTATGGTTTTTCAAATATAGTGACTAATAAATTTATACGAAATTACTATAGATATACTTATAATTTGAACTTTGATTTGGAACATTACATAAGAACAAACGTGTTTTGGTATAATAATAGGTTATATACTTATATGTATACCCATAAACAGGCCTTTTAACAGCCGTAAGTCATAACATAAGAAAGAGGTGTAGGTACCTACCTAATTATAATATTACATTTTTATAGCATTATTAATATAACTATATAGGTACAATAATTGTATTTATTATTGACTATTGTTTTACATTTTATTATTTTATAGACTTCTATTAAATTAAATGTTATTATATTTTAATATGTTATTTAAGTAAGTACTTAACATTTTTTATGATTTTTTATGTAACTTTAATGTATTTTTCAATACACTTTTAACATATTTCTACTTTAATTTTGATATATTTTCATTAATTTTTATCGGGACATTTTTTCCCTAGGTGGGGACTTTTTTTCCATGGTTATAGCACAGAATTGTTTTAATCTATGCTGTGGTTAAGGTATTTAATATGAACACTGATGAAAATAAATTCGAGAAATCATCCTACGACTCATCACGATTATAGTATAATTATTGTGGTAGGATTGAAAGCATTTTATTACAGGAGGGTGGTAATATGGTGTACGGACAATTGGGGCACTAAAAATCTTAGTTTTGGCACTGTAGGTATCTATGTAATTTCTAAAGACAATATCGTGAGGTCACGGCCCTAACTCGTTGCACTAACTCGACTTGTCATCTAAATTTTTGTATTTTTTGCAGGATGCACATTTTGAGTATTTTCTTTTTTTTTATTTTCTTTTTATTTATTCTTCAAGAAGATAATGAACATGTTTGTGTGGGGGCCCGAAGGTAGTATACCTCTGTAGTGTTTGCTTCGTTGGTTATTTCTTTTTAGCGCACGAGAAATTGTCACGCAATTTGATACTGAGCGGAGCGACATAATGATAATAATATAATATACTTTTATATATTTTATTTTTTTTGTGTCTGAACGCCTGAAGACATTTTTTCTAGTAGAAAGATTCGATTTTCAACTTCGAAGGTAGTTACAAAAATGAAAAAACCAATTGCATCTAGTTGATACTTTTAAAAATGCCACGTACTTATTTTTATAATCTGGACGGAATTCGTAAAAATCGCAAATTATTTTGTCAGCATAATATTCGATCTAAATAGTTTTTCATCGTAATTCGTAAACAGTTAAATTCCAATTTAAATAAATTAATATATCTATTTTATAATTATTATAAATAACTAGAGATGATAAGCGAATACAAATATGAATATTATAATATTATATTATTACACTTAGTAACATTGATTATATGTACTCGTATACTATAATCATAAGTCAATGGTAGTAGTTAATCTACCTATTGAATTTTATTTGTATTTATTTATATGACAGATTTATTCCCTCGGTGATTTCCGTGTTAATATTGGTGTACAAATTATTAGTGATGTTTTCTATAATGTAACAGAATGTAACAGGAACGTATGCTATGATTGATCGTGATGGCCGTTCAGCTAGTAGCTACAACAGCGAGTCGTTGGAACAGCCGCCGAGCCGCCGCGCCGCCGCCGAAACTAAAGAAAAGTAACGATTAGCTCATGAGTTCCTGGTACTCCGACGTTACATTTTTCGATTTTAGTTCGTACGTTTTAGTAGCGTTTTTACTATCCCGATCAACCCGGGTTCAACCTCACAGACCAACAATACAATACAATTTTTCAATTTAGTTCGTATGTTCTAGGCTCATATTAATTTTAAACTGAATAATAATAATAATATTGTTGGTCTGTGAGGTTGAACCCGGGATAGTAAAAACGCTACTAAAACGAACTAAAATCGAAAAATGTGACGTCGGAGTACCAGGAACTCATGGGCTAATCGTTAATTTTCTTCAGTTTCAGCGGCAGCGGCACGAGCGCTTCCCCGCAGTAAGGCATTTGGCTGGCTTATCAAATAATAACGTTATCATAGAATTAATCTGCGATAAGAGTCCTCTCATCATAGAACTAAACCAAATATAAATGTATGTAAAATAAATTCAGAATTTTAATTAAATTAATTAATTTAACTTAATTAATTAGGATTGTGGATAGTTTAGATAGTGGAACAAATTAATAGTGCTATGGTGACTGAGTGTTAAACATTATTTAATATTATTAATTACAAGAAAGATGCTTGGTTTTTTTTACGAGATATTTTTATCTAATAAGTATTGCTTAAGTTTTATGGAGTTAAAATCTTAATAATCTAATTTATGTCTTTACTTTAAAATGTTTGATTTATAAAAACAAAGATATAATAATTATGTTCCTAACACACTCAATCATAGGTAACCATGATCAAATGTCTGATGAATATTAACATATTTAGTGGCGTACACACTTTTTTTATTACAACTTATAAGTAAAACTATGTATGTAATATGAAATATTATGCAAGTTAGGAAATTTCTGAAAATAATATTTAAAAAAAAGACATTTGTTTTAAGTTAATTTACTCCAAAAATATTGATATTTAAAAAAATTCTAAAAAACAAACTGCTTGATTTAGATAAATGTTTTTACCATCAAAATTGTTCTTATAATCCGACTAACAAATTGGCTATTTTGAAATCAAAAAGAATTTGAATGAAATTTTTAAATTATTAATTTCAGTTTCAAGAAATAAAAACAAAATAATGTATTCTGTAAATACAGTGCAAATGTTTATAAATTATATACAGGTAATATAAAAAAAAATGTTAAATCTTGATTATAACAAAAGTTATTTCATTTGACTGGTCTTTCTGTTACAGTGTTACACCATGTATATTATATCGTTTTGTTTAATGAAACCCACTACATAGTACATTGAAAATATCTGTGTATGCCACTGAGTAAATTTGACAGATTAAATTTAGCAGACGAATAATGACAAACTACAATAAAATCACAATTAACTAAAACATAAAATTAATTCACAATTAATAAAAGTTTACATTTATCTAAAACATGAAATAAATCCACATCTAAATTCAGATCACATTTTACATTTTTTCATAGGATGCAAAACCAACATTGAAAATCTGCAGTAACTCGCATGGTCGAGTCATCCCATGAATTTTTTTCAACACACTTTTTGTGTAAATGTAGATCATCAAGCGCCGGGAAAAACAACATAAAAATTAAGGAAAAACGGGAATTTTTACGCAAAATCGGTTTTCCAAAAAATCGATTTTGGTTTATGGTGTAACTCTAAAACAAATGAACGTATATACATGAAATTTTCACTGGTTGTTTATTTTTGCATTTTCTATACACGATAACATTTTCAAAATATTTTGATTTATTTTGAACTGTTTAGAGACATTTTCATTTTCCATTTTTTTTCTAAAAATATCAATAAAATGTTATTTGTTGGTTGCGAAAGCTTGAAAATTTAATAGAAGGCTCCTAATATATTGTTTCAAAGGCAGATGAAAAATATTAAAAATCCTTAGTCAACATTTTTTTTTATAAGCATTTAAAGTTTAAAAATTGACAAAATATGGAAAAATCACGAAAATTAGCAAATTATTTTGAGTTAAGAATTTGTAAAAATTTTTCTTTTTAAATCTAAGATTTTAAAATGTAATACAAGATAACTCATAAGTTTGTCTACCTTTATCAAAAAAAAAAATGTCTATAAGAAAGTCAAATTAAATTTTTATGAGCGTTTGAAATTCAAATTTTTACAACATTGGATATTCACTCGATTTCTCATGTAACGATTTATTTTTTTGTAATTCAAAAACGAATAACTGTAGATACATGAAAATTTCACTGAATGTTAGTATTAGTATTTCCTATACACCATACCATTTTGAAAATATTTTGACTCTTTTTAAGCTGTTTACGGACATTTTCAAATTCAATTTTTTTAGTTTTTTTTCTATAAATATCAATAAAGTTTTATCTGTTGGGCCAAAAAGTGTAAAAATTTAATACAAGGCTCCTGATATACTGTTACAATAGCAATTGAAAAATATAAAAAATACATAGGCACAATTTTTTTTTATAAGCATTTAAAGATCGAATTTTGACAAAATTTATCAAAATCTCGAAAATTATCAATCATTGTAATTAATAAATTATAAAATGTTCAGTTTTTATAGCTAAGGATTGAACATTTAAAACAAAGGTTCTCATAAATAGTTCATACTGTAACCAAAAAATCCAAAAAATATATTAACACAGTTATTTTTTACAGACATTTTAAATTCAAATTTGGACGTAATTACATATTAAAAACCCTAGAATAACTATTTTAGTTTTTTTGTTGTGATTGAATAATATTATTCGTGGGTACTTTAAACTTCTAAAGTGTATTATTATATATCTATGAGAGAATCAGGGTTTGTTGTTGACGTATAACGCGTTATAAGTACCTCATGGATATTGTGATATGATTAATTTGGAATTTATTGTATTTACCTACCTATTATAGGTCAGTTTTTTGTTTAATACCATAGATATGTATATAAGATGTTTTATACCTAGACTGACGTCTCCGTTCAGAATCGTTTTTCTTATACAATGATAATATATCGTTGAATTCGAATTTAATATCATCCATTATACAGTGACCCACTTGTAACCTACTGTACAGCAGAGCGACACCCACTTGCCCACCTTTTTTAATATGAAAATATACATTAAATTATTTTAGTCTGATATTCAACTGATACTTTTTTTGATTAAATTATTAAATTATAAAATTTTTTATTTCTTATTCTCTCAGTACATTCAGTCTTTACTATCTGGAGACTTTGTCTGTGTAATATGTATAATACTTATCTGTATTAATAAATCAAAAGATTGTATTTGTTTTGGCATTTTCAATTTTGAATGCTTTTCGTACCTACTACATAATTCTATTAATTCAGTACCTATGTATAGAAAATCTATTGGCTATTTCCTGTGTTCAATAATATTTATGATTTTTATTATTTTAAACCATATTACTGAGTGTGTCACACTTGTAACCTACTGTACAGCAAAGCTATACCCACTTGCACACCTTTTTGATTTCGATTTTCTTAAATATAAATTATAATATCGATATATCAATAAAATAATACATATTTTGAATACCTACTATTAAAATTACTACATTACACCTATAAACCTATTAATTAGTAATACCTAATAGTCAACAATGTCTATACAATAGTAGTAAATTTTATACTTATTACGTCTTTACATATATCATATTATAAGAAAATATGTTTGCTCTCTCACTGATCATAAATATACAGATAACAGGTATATGCTGTATTGGGACGTTCACTAAAAAAATGAATTTGTTCACGTTCACGTTCAGTGCTTGAAAAGGAACTAGTTCACGATCAAATTCATATTTTTTTTCAAATTAACACGTTCAAGTTCACGTTTTTTGAAAATATGAAGGCGCTCATTACAACGTTCATTAAATTTATTTTATTTTTATCTATTGTTTAAATACGAATACAAAATCGTGGAAATCATAATATTATTGTTGTTTTATGTCCAGGCGTGCACACTGGAATTTCATGTTTTTTTTTTTTAGAACTTTTACATTTTGTAAATTGTAATATATTATATATCATAATAGTATTATCAATCAATATTTATTAAATAATAAATACATTTTAACGTCTTAAAAATCGTTCAAATTGATTAAATATATAAACGTCGTTCACGTTCACGTTCTATTTGAAAAAAAACGAGTGACGTTCACTAAATATGAACGTGAACGCTTAAACACGGATATATGAGGGTAATTCCTACACTACACTACAGTACATACATATTATCATAAATTTTATTTTTGATAACACTATAAAAGTATACATGGTAAATATAATATAATACTTACATTGGACAAACCTTTTGCGTTGGTGATAAAATTATTTAAACTGGGAAGAATTGCATTTTTCGTGTCTTTGAAGTATACGTTAGTGTTGTCCATTTTACAATGCAACTATTTAGAAACATACCTAGTAACGATTGAATTGAATCCTTCTGAGTTGTAGGTTATAGTTTTTGGCAAGTCTTAGGCGTTTTTGCAATTCCAGATTAAGTATAAGTAGGTATCTAGTACTCACCACTCACCAGCTACCATTCACTGCAATTATTAAAAACATTAAACCTAGCTATCAACGATACTACCTATACCTACACAAACAGCAAGACGTTATCGATTTAACATAGATACCTACCAGACAATAACCTCGAGAAACCGTGACTGTTTTTGCTAAGTCATGTTCACCTTCTAATTTCTAAATCCTATTTCTATTCATATATCAGATATATAACATAAATTACTTATATAGGTACTTGCATGGCTACATAGTACATTATTATTCTATATTGTGCCTATCATTATATTGGGGCATCATTTGAGGTTACCCCTCTGCAACGGGTATGCTTATCAGTGGCGTATGTAGAAATATTTTTTGGGTCGGGCTATAGTAGATAGAAACTAGCAAGTGATCTATTACTTAGAGGATACTGTCTACTATATATTTAACAGTTTCTATAAATATATTCGTATTTGTTATTTTTCAACAGGCTATGAAATATGAGTTATAATAGTACCTAATAAAATATATTGTTGTTTATTTCGGGGGGGGGGGGGCTGCAGCCCACTTTGCCCACCCCATATATACGCCACTGATGCTTATACATAGGGTAGGTACCTAAAATTGATCGAGATGGTATTTTGGCCTGACTATCATTTTTCTGCGGAAATAGTATTATTTTTTTTAATTGTTTTTAATTATTGGCAACTATATGTCCATGTGATATTATTATTTAAATGAATTATTAAAATATTTGGATTATATAAAATATTGTATGTGTGACTGACGATTTCAGCATTTGTTTTATATATAAGGTACCTACAATACCTATAAATATTTAAATTTAAATAATTCAAGTACCTATACCTATTAACTTAGTATTAATATTTCTACAATATTCATAATATTATATTAGATTATTATATAGAAAATATAAAGATTTTAATTTTCGAGCGTAGTAAGAACTTTTTTTTTGTAATAACTCTATAGTACAAATACGTACAATATAATATAATATTGGCCAGCGGAAATTTTTTTTGGCCTGTCTAGTCTTAGCTTTCTTATAAAAAGTTGAAATGATCCTTGATAATATATAGGACGATAAAAGACATGAATATGTGAACCTACATACGGGTCAGTCCCTACAGATGAAAATGTTAATATAATGTATATTTAAATATATATTATGATGGTCACTACTCACTATACCATCTAGACCTATACGGCGATATACACCTAACACTCTACTAATAGATACCTTCACTATATTATATAATTGGGGTATATTAATTGTTGTTATTATTTCCCTGTTTCAAGATCCTTTTATTCACATTTAAAATCCCATTTTAATGTTTTTGTCTTTTGATAAACTGCAGATTATACTTAATCATATTTTTTCTCCGTTTTAATTTGATTATAACATTTCATAACTCATAAGACCAAAACACATATTGGAAATTTTGTATTCTTCAAATTCTAGAAGAATAATTGATTCTAGTTAGTTTACAAACATTTAGTATCTATTTATTCGTATTTTAAACAAAATATTATATATTTACAATTTATTAATGATTATATAGGAACTTATTGCAACAACAAAGACAAAAAAATAAGGCAAAAAAGTGGGTACTGGTGTTCAGTAGTTACTAGTTTTCGATTATTTCGTTGTATTTTATGTGTTATATATTTGGATTCAATGATTAATCATTGAATACGATGATGAGCGATTCTGAGCGGAGACGTTGTATCTACTTTAGGAGGTCGGAGCCGGTGCGGTTTTTGGTACAAAAACATGTCTTACAGGAAAAACTCTCAAGTCCTAGTCGGAATTCGATAATTTTTTTTAATTTAAAAGCAGAGAACATTTTGTAGGTCGAGGATCAAACCCCGATTTCGAAAATTATAATTATAGAAGCTAAAAATGCATTTGAATAATGCACAATATTTGTTCTTTTTCAAACGTATTTTTCTACTAAATATTATTTAAAGTAAAATAAAAATTCAAGCTTTGATCCGACCTTCAAAAACTTCTCATCTTTCAGATAAAAAAAAATTACCAAATTCCGACATATCAATGAGGCGTGAGAGTTTTTCCTGTTGAAGCATTTTTGTTCATCAAAACAGTGCTTCGATAATTTAGTCATCGAAGTCAATCACTGACTTGTGCATACGTGTATGGTAAATATCTTTATCTGTGCTTGTAATTATACCTCACTCACCCTAATATCGATTTACATACTCACACGCATGCACGTTCCGCGCGAGGCCAACTCAACATGTGAATTCAATTGCCTAAATTTTACTCCTTAATAATTACCGGAAGCCTTAACATACAGTGAAACATCGATTACTCGAATCGGTTGGGAGCGAAAAAAAATTCGAGTTATAGAAAAAATTGTGTGTACTTATTGAAATACAGGAGTGAAGATATTCCTTTGAGTTATCGAAAATTCGACTTATAGACGTTCGAGTTATGGAGGTTTCACTGTATTTATATAAATAACCAAATTTAATAGTTAAAAAAAAATTACAATAAAAATCGAAAATATTTCATGGCTATAAATAGCGTAACTTTCAGCAGTTTCCGGTTAATTTTTTCTTTTTAATAAAGTTAGAAAAACTTGTTGGGAACCTTCTAGAACTTTTCTGAATTTCAAACTGAAAAATAATTTACAAAATCTGAAAATATTATCACGACTATAAAAGAGTCGAAATTCTTTGAAATTGTTTACCGTGTATGTAAAATACTTATATAATCATTTGGTGAACATGTCAATAAGAGTCTATGGTTATCCGTTTTGGAAATACAACAAAATATCAAAAATCAATTAAAATTCGTTAATTTACCACTGAATATCATGTATCTTAAAAATTATGAGTTCAAACTCTCTTAAAACATAAATGTTACGTTTCAATATACCATTTTTTTTTTGTTATAGAGAGAAAAATGTATGTTAAATCTTCTATTAAAATGTTTAATCTAATAGCTATGAAAAGAAAAACTTTTATGAATTTCTTACTGAAAAATAATTTACAAAATTTCTCATGGCCATAAAAAGCTCAAAAAGGATCAAAACATTTAAAAAATGTTACCGATTGCGGGAAATGCTAATATAAATATTTGGTGAAAATTTCAAGGGTCTACAGTAGTTTTTGAGTAACACGATAAACATAAAATAGATTTTTTCAAAAATTGGTTTTGGGTAAAAATATGTAATGATCTCTCAAAGACCTCTCATAAGAGCCGATTATTTTTATATTTACTACTTTTATATCAGAAGAAAATCAAAATGGTTTAGTTGTTGCCATAATACAACTATTATTAAGCAGTGTTCAAACGAATTATTAAAAGGAGTGAAAAATCTTCTGTTTTTTAAACGTTGCTTCATCGGACATAGATACAGAGTAAAAATAGCATTTCTCTCAATATTATATTACAAAAAAAAAAAAATAACTAAAATATTCTCCCTTTAAATATCGAATTTCGTCCAAATTTATATTAAAAATAAACTAGGAGATTTTTAGATTTTTATTTACAATATGAAATACTTATAATAAACTTTTGTTTAAAATTCTCAACCTTTAGATACAAAAATTGAACATTTTATAATTTTTTAAAGAACAAAATAATTTACAAATTCTCGTGACTGATGAGTTTTGTCAACATTTTAACTTAAAATGTCTATAAAAAAAATCATGCGAATGTAGGTATCTTAAATTTTTCAAACTGCTCTTATAAAAACTTATGAGAAACCTTGTATTAAATTTTCAAATCTTAGATATAAATAAAAAACTTGTATCGATACCTATAGAAAAAAACTAAAAAATTTAAAATCTATAATTATAAGTCTATAAAGTACCTATAAATATTAAATAGCTCAAAAAGAATCAAAATATTTTGAAAATTATACTGTATATATTATTGGGTGGACATTTAAAGTATCTGCAGTTCTTCGTTTTTGCATTATTACAATAAAATAAGAAAATCGTTCCTTGAGAAATCCGATAAACAATATCTTGAAAGCTTAAAATTCACACGTTCATAAAACATTAATTTAACTTTCCGGTTAACTTTTTTTGTTTTGTTTAAGGTAGGAAAATGTATAAGGAATCTTGTATTATATTTTTTAATCTTAAATATTCATGGACAATTTTTTATAAATTATTCTAACTCAAAATAATTTGCAAATTTTTGTGGTTTTGACGAATTTTGTCGAAATTCTTGCTTCAGAAGCTTATAAAAAATTATCGTGGTTTTTTTTTTTAATTTCCAACTTATCAGGAATCTTTACTGAACTAATAAAAATCAAAATTTTCTTATGCCTATAAAATAAATAGCTCAAAATGATTCATCATATATTTGAAAATGTTATGTTGTATAGACGAATATTCAGTGAAAATGTAATAGTTATAAGTTGTTGCCATAATACTGTTATTACTACCCAGTGTTCAAACAAATAACGATTGTGTGCTTTGGCTGTGGCCATGCTCCCGAGACACCCAGATAAGTTGTATTATATGATAGATTATTATATTGTATGATAGAAGGAAAGAAAACTGCAGGACGTACTCGAAAGTCTTATTATAGAACGTATCAAAACTAATGCAAGAGTCAAAACCTTTAAGAAACTTGAGAGCAAAGACGAGCAATCTATCGTCAGAATAGAGAGAATTGGAATTTTAAGTTGTAAAATATTCGTTTCCATTTCATGAAATGGTCATATTTTCATGAAAAGTTCGACTTTACGAAGTGGCTACGACATCCACATTATGTAGGTTAATTCAAAAATTTGCTAGTAGATGGTTGTAGAAGGATAACATTATTAAATAAATCAATAAATTATACTTATGTTGTGCTTTTGATTTGTTGGTATAATTGATAATAGAAATACATATTTTTTATAATATACATTTTTATTATTTTACTTAGTTTTTACCTCTTTCAGGAAAATTATTAAAAAAAAAAAATGTATTTAATGTGTTAAATATTTAATATTAATTATTTTTTTAAATGTTGTAATTGTAAAGCGAGGAATAATTTTATGCCCATATTCAGAAAGTGTTGAATTTATCATTCATAGTATGAACTATGAATATGAATTATAAATAATAATATAATACTAAGTTAATTTTTTGGGATTAAACACTTAAGACAATAAATTGCTAATCTCATAGGTATTCTCATTAGGATAATGTTGGAAGACTTTCTTACCATAAAAGAGACATGTTCTTTAAATTGTACATTAAACAAAAACATCCCTAACATCATTATTAGTGCATATTATAATGTACAATATTATGGATGACAAAATAAATAACTTCCAACAGGTTTTAAACAACCATCAAATTTAACAGATTCTGAGTGGCTAATTGGATTCAGGATAATGTTACAATAGAATAAGAACCATAATCAGACATTTGTGAGCCATAAATCATTATTCATTTACTATACCTTTTTATATTTTAATACAATTTTCATAATACCAACGATTTAACGTTGAAATAAGTACTCTTTTTTTTTTGTTGTTGTTAAAGGTGTTGGAAAAGACATCGAATGCGTAGGTACTATTTGGAACGATTGAGACAAATATAATAAACAATGAATCTGTAGTATTAATGTATCATTTATTTATCATTATTTATTAATCAGTACTTATTGCAATTAATTAGTGTACTTATTGTACAATTGTTTTGAATAACATATAAATGTTTGTATTCTGGCTAGTCAAAAGTAGGAATTCTTATTAGATAGGTAGTTTTTTTTTAATAATTGAAGAAAAAAAATATTAACATTTGTTAATTTTTTAAAATTATTATTAAAAAAATTGTTCAGTAGTCAGAATTACTAAAATGTTAGATTGTCTCAGCTAAAAATTGTTTTTTTGTATATGATGATCATTGAATACATAATATCGACTGCCGCAATAAAAACTGTCGTAACTTAATTTTACAGTTTTTTTTTTCAATTAGTTATTACTTTATTCCTGAATTTCTTACAAATATGGCAGTAACTACATCTTATTGTATAGAACGTCTTTGGTTGATTTATGCTACTATCAGGTTCGTTGGAAATCCAGAAAAATAGAAACGATAGATTGAAAAAAAAAAGTTGTAATATTGCGTTACGACAGTTTTTGTTGCTGCAGTCGGTATATGCATTAGTGCTGAGCATTATTTTGATCAATCCGGATTACCGATTACAATTATTTAATCCGAATTTCGGATCAATCCGTTTTATCCGGATTCAATCCATCTACTCGGATTTCGGATCCAATCCATTGATTCGGATTTCGGATTCAATCCATCTACTCGGATTTCGGATCTAATCCATTGATTCGGATTTCAGATCCAATCCGGCTTAATTGTTTTTGAGATAATCAGATTTTTTTCATTAGTATCTAATATATATATATATACTATCTACCTAAATAATACGAATGTACGATCTCATTTTTTTTTCTAGTTTTTCACAATTTATTATTAGATACCTGCCTATGTAGTATGTAGTAGGAAGATATACAGAAAAAACCAAAATAAGAAAACCATATATTATATAATATAAGTTATAACCAATGTTTTTGCGATTTATAATAATAAATTATTATTATGTTCCTTTATACTAGGTATTACCAACTAATCATTAAGTGTCTTTATCTTATTGTATGTAATATCAATTTTAGGCATACTATAATTTGATCATAGAAATTTGATTTTTGTATATTTCTGTTTATGTAGTATGTACTTATGTATTTCTGTTCCTCATTACCCTTTGAGGGTGCTACCTAATAATAATAATAATAATAATAATATCTGTATTGTAAATATTAAATAATACTAAAAAAAAATATATACACCAAGACTAAATTGTGATTCCAAATTTAGCTTAAAACTTTACTATAAAAATCAAAAAGTTATAGAAGTATGAAGTTGAAAACTTGTACAAGTTGTCACGTTTGGTAGAAAATTGTTTATTACATCTTAGTATATTTAAACTTGTAGAAATTCAGGACATTATATAATTATACATTATACATCATACATCATACAATAGTCAACAACAAATAAAATAATATATAAATTATAATTTAGCATTATGTGAATGAAATATTAACCACTTGGCTGTTTCACCAGCCAGACAATTTCTTTTTGAAGTTATGTTTCCTGCAGTGGAAAAAGCTCTTTCAGATGGAGTAGATGTTGACGGTATACACAAATATTTTTTGGCTAGTTTTGAAATCATTGGGAATCTTAAAGGGTTACTAAGGTAATTGGGTAGTTAAATACATATTTTGTGGGTAATATTAAAGATTTTAGATAAATATAAAAAAATTGTTTTCATATTGTGTTATAATAATTTGTATCATAATCCGGATTAGTATATTAAATCCGGATTAAACGGATTGTAACATCTGTCTCAATCCGGATCGGTAATCCGGGTATGGATTGTTCCGGATTTTGTGCTCAGCACTAATATGCATCCACATTCACTAGATAAGATGTAGGAGTATTAAATTACTATCTAAATAACTTAAAATTTCAATTTATTTATTTTTAACTTAATTAAAAGTTAACTTGACAGAGTTAAAAATTGCAATTACATGTTGCATAGCTTTGGCTAAAATTATAAAGAAATTTAATCCAAAAGATTGAACGAAAAAGTCATTGAGTTTCAAACTTAAATTAAATATAACAGTAAAAAGGAATAAGCAAAAACAAATAAATTCAAATATGCTTAACTCCTAGAATAATTTATAAAATATAAATCAAAAATTGAATTTTACCTAATAATCAATTTTATGAATTACAAAATAAACATTAATAGAATGATGAATTACAGTAATAATAAGTTTAAATAACCGGCTATAATAATATATAAAAAGAATGTAATAAATTATATATTCAAAATGTCAATTAACCTATACAATAAAGATAATGATACCTATTATCTTTGTAAATTGTGCAAAAAATATTTTTAAATGTACTGTTTTGTGAGCCATTCAAAATAAATATACAATTAACAGCTGAATATTATGCATTCTGTAGCTTAACATTTTCTAAAATTGTTGAAAACAAATTTTTATTTTGTAATATGTATATAAATGTTTTATACGTACAACATAGAAAATACAAAAGTAACTATTATTAATTGTGAAAAGCACATAAATGCTTAAAAAAAAGGTATCAAATTAAAATGCACAATACAATACTTAACATTTAAAAATTAAAAAAGTAATAAAATACAAAATGAGAAATGAAATAAAATTTCAACATAAAAGTATAACATTTTTTTGTTTATAACAGTCCATTTGCAATATCAAATGCAGTAGCTCTTTGTCTTAACACAACAATAGCATTGTTCAGTTTTAGTGCTGGTCCAAGAGGAATGTTTAGTGTATCCGTCAAATCTTTTTGAGTTAACATTAAAAATACTTCGCCATCAATGTCCTTTATTTGAAAAAAAAATAAAAGTAAATATACAGTAGACAATATAAATATATACAGGGTGTATCTTATGTCATTGTACGCGGGGTTTTTTGACGATTACGGAACGATGATATGGAATTTCGTTAAAACGAAAAAAGACGTGTTTCTTTATTTTTAACAAGCAATTGTTTTATAACAATTTCAAAATTTTTAAACACGCAGGTGTACCAATAGCAAAATCAACTTTTTTTTTTCAAATGGTAACCACTATATTTTTTAATGGATTCTGATAAAGCTTTTTTTTCTGAACATTTTGGTAGTCGAATCGTCAATTTTGGTTCGCTAGTTTATTAACTATGGTCCTCCAAAGATTAGTAAAATATACATTAATACTTTTAATTAAAATAATGGGTATAGGTTTAATTTACAAGCGCCAAACAATTTTTTCTTATAACTACCATTTGATACACTACAATAGTTGAATCGGTAATCTAATGACACCCTCAAAAAAAAAAAAAAAAATAACAAACATAATTGTTTGTAAACATACTTCATTATTTTTATTTTAACATACGATCATATAAAATCAATATTATTATTTTAATATCCAAAACTAAAAAGGATGGAAAGGGATGAATTACTACTCCTAAGTTCATACTTTGGATGCGATACCATTATAGGGAATCTATGGTTAAAATATCAAGTTTATACTTTATACCACTACGAAAAGAGCACCACAAGTTTTTTCGTTGCACATATTAATGTCAACAATCGAATACCATTTACCAATTTACCATTATTACCTTAGCTACCTCCCTAATTAAGAATTCAAATTTATGATATTGTAAGAAAAGTAACTGTGATGAAAAAAATTTAAAGTAATTAATTACGATTATAATAATAATTTAAAATAATAATATTGATAATTTTTATGATCGTATGTTAAAATTAAAATAATGAAGTATGTTTACAAACAATTATGTTTGTTATTTTTTTTTTTTTTTGAGGGTGTCATTAGATTACCGATTCAACTATTGTAGTGTATCAAATGGTAGTTATAAGAAAAAATTGTTTAGCGCTTGTAAATTAAACCTATACCCATTATTTTAATTAAAAGTATTAATGTATATTTTACTAATCTTTGGAGGACCATAGTTAATAAACTAGCGAACCAAAATTGACGATTCGACTACCAAAATGTTCAGAAAAAAAAGCTTTACCAGAATCCATTAAAAAATATAGTGGTTACCATTTGAAAAAAAAAAGTTGATTTTGCTATTGGTACACCTGCGTGTTTAAAAATTTTGAAATTGTTATAAAAAAATTGCTTGTTAAAAATAAAGAAACACGTCTTTTTTCGTTTTAACAAAATTCCATATCATCGTTCCGTAATCGTCAAAAAACCCCCGCGTACAATGACATAAGATACACCCTGTATATTTTTTATTGATCATAAGCATCGGCAACTATGGCTATTAGCATTTTGTAGGAGGGTTATAGTTGGTTGAGGAACACAAGTGTGCGGGGTGAGGATTTGTCACAAAAAACTGTGGGAGACAAACATTCGGGAACTACTGACACCGGCTAATGCTTGACCTCAGAACACTTTAGTGATTGAGATAAACCACCGAGCTACACCAGGCCCCAATTTAAAAATTATGTACTATATGTTATAAATATAAATAAAATATTCTTTTTTTACCTGATTTATAAAAGATTTAGATATTTTGATTCGTTCAGAGTGATTATTGTCTGTATAATTATTAGATACTATTTTTTCGACAAAATCAGCTACTTCTTTGATAGGCCATTTTCTTGCATCAGTAGTACTAAATATTGGTATACCTTGTAGAACATTATGTCTGGTCCATACATTAAGCCTTGGAGGTTTAAAAGATCCATAGCCATAGCATGTATAATCATTAACACCTTTAATATTTTCTAATTCGTTCATCGCTTCAACGGCTCTTGTATAAACAGTTTTAGAACGACCATTTGGTATCTTTTTTTTAAATTTATTTTTTAATCTATACCAAACATAAATTGTTTTAATGACATTTGTTTGATATAATTATTGATGAGTACATTACTTGTTATTGATTCTTTTTCTTCTTTTGGGTTTGTTTGAGTTATAACTTTTTATTTTATTTAACTTCAGTTTTTGTTTTTTTTTAGCCTCTCGAGGTACAATACTAACAGAACTTGAAAAACTAGACATATATTTAAATTTATATTAAACAATAAATCATACAAGTATAAAGTAAATACATAGATATATAAACAATTTTTTTTTAATTACTTTTCAACTGAAAGTGGAATGTCTTCAGGTTTTACTCTATCAGGAATATTTAACATCCCGGAAATTGATGATTTCCATGACTCAAACTCATATGGACACTCTTTGGCAAATACATGAGTATTTTTGGAACTTTTTGTATTGCCTTTACCATTACAGCCAGGAACTCTGCAACTCCAAAGTATTGCGTTTACTAAAAACACATACAAAAATTATCAATTAATTACATGTTTCAAAAATACAACATAATTTTATTTCATATACAAATAAGTTATAAGTGGGGAAACTTGGAGATTGTGCAACTTTCCTTAAGCAGTGGTAAATGTATGGAGTTTTTTAAATGGCAAACAGTATATTATGTCAAAGTCCACTAAAAATGATTGAATAAAAATTTAAATTTTTCTTTTTTTTTTATTAATGACAACACATAATTTTATACTTAAAATATATTAAACATGGTGTGTTATGAAATATATTACACCCATGTTCATTTCCTATCTTTTACCATTATAAGTGTCAAAAAATTAATTATACTCATTGTAACTTTTACAGTCAGCATTGATCAAACATACTATGGTTTGTATGGCATATTCTAATTATTGGTATTATCAATTTTAAAATCAGTTAAGATATTTTAGGTTCTGAGCTCTCCGAAGAAGGTATTGATTTTACAATGATGTGTGTGTGTTATTTTCTGTACACGATAAGTAGTCGAAATAATGCTTCGAATTTCAACTTTAGTATCTTCCACTATGGGAAAGTGAATCTAGTTGGTGCATTCTGAGGGTCAAAATTTAAAATTTCCAGTAGTTTTAAAAAGTGTCAGAAAATCAAAATCAAAGAATAACGAGTATTTTTAGGCAAAATTGGTTTTCGACAAAATCAATATTGATTTTGGTGTAACTCTAAGACAAATTACCGTAGATACATGCAATTTTCACTGAACGTTTATATTGGCATTTTTTATACACCATACAATTTAAAAAATATTTTGACTTGTTTTTAGCTGTTTAAGGACATTTTCAGTTTCCAATTTTTTAGGTTTCTTTTCAATAATTGTCAATAAAATATTAGTCGTTTGGTCAAAAAGCTTGAAAATGTTAATACAAGGCTCATAATATATAGTTACAATAGCAGTTGAAACATATTAAAAGTACATAGTCACATTTTTTTTTATCAGCATTTAAAGTTAAACTGGTGATTAAATACGTAAAAATCACAAAAATGTGCAAATTATTTTGAGTTAGAAATTCATAAAATGTTTTCTTTAATTTCTTATTAATTAAATTTAAATTTTAAATAACAATAAATACAACTTTGAACTAAAATATATTTTAATTGTAACTAATTTTATTAAGAAATATAATATTGTTGTAATAGTATTTAATTAAAAACTTATGTTGAGTAAAGATATCAAGAATTTATTAGCAAATCTATATAGTAAGTAATTTCTAATTTTTATTAAGTTTCAATTACAATAATGAGCATTTTCAAAGTTTTTTAATCTTAATGTTAAGTTAAATCAATACTCTACAAGTGAAAAAAAAATGTGACTATTTGATAATTATCAAATTTGAAATAGATTTGTAATAGGTACTAAAAATCTAAGTATTATTCATTGTTTAATTTATATTTTATGGCTATGCAATACAATACAGTGTGCATCATAGAAATATAAGCCATAATCAAGAAGTGAAAACTCCTGGTAAGGTTAACAACTGGTATTTCATTTTAAAATTTCAATTAATAAGCGAAATGTTAACCTTGGTTATCAGTTATCACACAAATTAAAACATCTTCAAATAAGTGTGTGATACTCTACTGTACAGTAAGTTACAAGTAGGTGACTGTAATTATGGTGTTAAATTTGAATTCAATGATATAATATTATTGTACCTATACGAAAAACGATTCTGAGCGGAGACGGCTTGTCAATCTAGGATAATTTATACTTTATTTATATTGTTATTAATAATACAGTAGCCGGTCAACAGATACATGCACATTGCACGCATGTGTTGTCTCTGTCTTAAAATTGTGTAACATAGCAAATTGTACGCTCAGCAGAACACTTATTCATACAAGGACAATTTTTTTTAAATTTCTAACTCAGAATAATTTGCACATTTCCGTGATTTTACAAATTTTGTTTGAATTCAAATTTCAGACGTTCATAAAAAATTAGTGTTGATGTAAGCTCAACTTCCACTAACAACAACTTACAGGAACCTTGTATTAGATTTTAAGTTTTAGACCCATTTTTATCGACATTAATTAAAAAAAAATTAATAATAATCGAAATTTTCATATGCCTATAAATAGCTCAACATGAGTCAAAATATCTTTAACATTTTATGGTGTATGGTTATATAAACATTCAGTGAACATTTCGTGTATCTATGGAAATAGTTTTTAGAGTTACTCCAAAAACCAAAATCGATCTAGCCAAAATCGATTTTGTGTAAAAATTCCAGTTTTATTAAAAAATAAAAAAAGGCTTTTGAAAACTACTGGGAATTTTGAGCTCCTTAATGCACCAACTAGATTCACTTTGAAAAAGATACTGAAGTTGAAAATCGAAGGATTATGTCAACTACTTATCGTGTACATGCTCAAAAAAAAAACCTACATCATTCAATCTTTGTAAAATCAATACATTCATAGCTCTGCTCAGAATCTAAAATTTATATAATGCATGGAGTGAAAAATGTATTGATATTACAATGTGTTTTTTTTAAAATTTTTATTTTGTCTGAAGAAAATTTATTTAGTAAACAAATGTCCCTATCATATAATCTAGTTTAGTGGGTTAAAACCAAAAACTTCTCTGTACTTAGAAAAAATAATCAGAGAAAAAAATGAACATAAGTTGTTAAAATTTGAATATTTTTATTAAAATAATTGTTTTGAAACCAAAGTAACGTAAAGTTAGACCATAATTTCACACAGACTCTTCTTTTTTTTTATATCATATACTATAATTTGATTTCAAATTTAACATACCCATTACACTATTACAGTGACCAGTGGCGCCGAACACGGGGGTTCAACTGGGGAAAATTCCCCAGAACTATTTTAATTAATGTGGGGGTGGGTGGGTCATGAGTGACTGCTTTTATGTATAAAAGATAGGTAGGTGGGTGCCCTTAAACAAGGTTTACCCCAGTGGTTTAAAAAAGGTTCGGCGCCACTGACAGTGACCTACTCTCAATAATGAGGTACACTCAAACTCTACTATATATCAGAGCATATACATATGTATATATATATATTTTTAAGTTGTTAGAATGACAAAATTTAATTTATAGTTATTAATTTGAATACAATATAAATGTTTACCTTTAAATAGTTCAATGGGGTGATTAGTTTTCAAGCACCATCCAAGTGGATGAATATTTGGACTATCGTCTTCAATCCAGTATGCATATATAGGATCAAATCCATCGTAAAGTATTTTAAGTTCATCCCCTTTAACATCTACTACTTTAGCAATTCTTACTAATGAAGGATTAGCAATATCAACTACTTCAATTGCCATGCTATTAGTAAATTCTCGTAATGGTCTACGAATAAATGCATCTTCTGGTACAGGTTCACTATTCGTTTCTTGTAAGTATTTAGTCCATGAAAAAGGTTTTTTCCCTCTACAATCTAAATAAATGTCAGTATTAATATAATATACATTTATCAGTCAAAATTTAAAAAAAAAATATATATATATATTTACTATCGTAACCACTAGGGGGACACAAAGTTCGACCATTTTTATCACACCATCCAATTGGATGTATATTAGTTGATGTGATATCCGTCCAATAGTCAAAATCATCTGTCCAACCATCAAAATGAATACGTATACGATTACCCAAAATATCAGCAACAGTAGCAACACATATAAGCTGTTTTGGTAGTGTGCGGGTTAATTTATCTAAAGCTTCTAATTTAGCTCCAATACAAAATGAGTGATCTGTAGTACGATTCTAGGTACAAAAATGATCATCATATTATTATATATCCATATATATTATATACTATGTATAGAAACCAATGAAACATAGTTCATATAAAAGGAATCAAGTATGTATAATATTCATATAAAAATAGTTAATTGTACAACTTACAACCATATATATTGCAATAGGAAAATTCCATTTCGGCGCAGGCACAACACCAGGCATTCTAAAGTAATCAGTCCAATTGAATGGCAGTTTATAATTTTTTGGTGGTTGTAAAGTGCGAGAGTTTTGCTCACACCATCTAGGATAAAACAAATCTGGGCAATTTGCATTTACCCAAAAATCATATATATCTTGGTAGCCATCAAAATGTAGCTTAATGCGATAACCTGGTGAAAATTAAAATTTTATTAAGTAAATCTTAAATATATATAAAAATAAACTTGATAATTACCAACAACTTCTACTACAGTCATTACACAAAACAATGCTTCATGTTCTGGGTCGATACCTTCTAATCTTTGTCCAACTTTAAATGGGTTACAATCATTTGGAAAAGGATTATCAAATAATTTTTTTGGAGCCGGTATATAATCAGTGTGTTCCAAATAGCTTGATATATTTTCATTTTCTATTTTACCCTGAAAAATTAAAGAAAACTTATACTACTTATTAAAAATTAAATTATATAATATATCATTATACGTTTTCAACAATTATTGTAGGTTCATTTGCTTTTGAAAGTTTTCTTCTATTTCGTGATTTTTGAAAAGTATGTTTTACAGTTATTGGTATTGGTGGTGGCATCTTGCAGGTCTCATTATCAGGGTTTACGACATTAACCAAATCAACTTGTTGAGCAGCTTCATATTGTTTTTGGAATGATGGTAAACTTTGCTTTCTTTTATTAATTCTACTTTTCAATTTGGCTAAAAGCATTTTTCGATCAATTACAGGTTTATTAATTGGGGTTTCTTCCCGTGCTTGTTCAATGTCACAAGAACTTTTATTAGCTATCTGCAGTTTGGTATCAAACTTTTTACATTCCAAGCTACAATACATATTATCAATCAATTTAGATTCGTCTATAATTAATTGACAAAATTCATATCGACAACGATATGGACGTTTTATACAATAAGCTGAAAAATAAAATTTCTTCTTGTAATAATATGGAGTAAGAGTTAATAAATATTAAATATTGTTATACCTGGATTTGGTTTTTCTTTTTTCATTTCTTTTGGAAAAAGTAATTGAAGGGTAGTTGGTTTTGACAATGGTATTTTATTTTGACTTCCTTTAGGTGCTATATTAATCTTTGGATTCTGAAAAAATACAAGCTTTATTTAAGTACTATTTTCATTAAAAACATCCAATATACCGTACTTTTGGTGAATACACTTTAGTAGGAATTACTTTCATCATTTTATCAGAAGAAACTGTAGCAATAGTACTTTTGGAAGTACTACCATTATTTTTCACAATTTTTATAAAATATTGTTTACAATCTAATTTTGTATGTGGTTGGTTAGTTGAATTATAAGGTACTAATCTTACAGTGCTTAGATTTTTATTAGAAAAATTACCTGTAATAAAACAAACAAAAGTAGTTAGTAGAAGAGAATGTATAATAATTTATAGTTTATACAAACCATATTTTGGGACAGTTAACGGTTGACCATATGTTTTAAGTATTGAAGATTCAGGCCTTGATGACAGTGGGATAAATCCAGGTGGAGGAGGCAATAATTCATTTTTAACATTAGAATTTAATTTAGTCTTATTATTTTCAATAACCACGTTTGTATGATTATCAATTACATCTTTACTTGTAATAGTATGGGGTATACATTTTTTCTTACCACTTGTACCGACAAAATTAATTGTATTTTTAATTTCATTCAACGATGATGTTATGAATGATTGTTCTCTTACTTGTTGAACATGGTTAGATTTTGAAGAATCTGCATTCTTTATTACTTTAGGATTTGGTATATCTGTATGACGCCTTTTCAGATATCTAACAAATTTTTTTGAAGAACGTGGAAATAAAAGTTCAAAATGTGTGCTTGATTCGTAGTAGCGTTTGACATTTTTTTCATTTATCTTTATTTTTTTATCTAATAGAATTTTGAATCTTTGATTCTGAAATTCCTTGCAGCTAACAACAAATTTTGAATTTTTATTTTGAATTTTTGGTTTTTCAATTGTATTAAACTTTTCAGCAACTGATACTGGTATAATAGAATTTAATGGTTCTGACAGAGTTGATGCAGAATTAAAACTTGGCAATGATTGGTTTTTAACTTCTTCTTTATTTATTGTTTGAAATATATAATTAACTCCTTTTGGGATTAAAAACATTTTTGACTTTGGGTCATTGGTAGATATTATTTTGAACCCTGGTTTCAATGTTGGAACACATTTATTATTAGTAATTTTACCAGGATATGACTTGGGTTGTAACCTTGTAATAATTGTAGTTTTTGGATTGATGAGCGTAGTTGTGGGCATTAAAGCAATTGTTGGTGGTTTTTTAATTTGGTTAGACAAAGTTGGAGGAATAAATTTTATATTAGAAAGAACTGCTTTCGGAACAGCAATTTTTTCTAAATTTAAAGAAAAATTGTTCGGTCTTAGATATATATTATTTTCATTTTTCTTAGGTGTATTTAAAACAAATTTAGTTGCAATCATTTTCTTTAATGGCACCTGTTGGTTGGATGTTTTAACATCATTATTATCAACAGTTCTAAAATTTACATTTTTGTTTTGTTCTTGTACTTTAGTTGACGTAGATTCATTTAATTTGGTAACTTCTATACCAAGTGCACTATTATTTTTATTCAATAAAGTGCTCAAGTCAGAATGAGAATTAAGAGGATCTATATGGTTTTCATTTTTCTTTGGTGCATTTATAAGTAAAGTAGTTGCAATCATTTTCGTTAATGGCACACCCCGTGTTATAGATATTTCAACATTTTTACTATCAACATTTTTTATATTTTCAATTTTGTTTGGGTCTTTTACTTTAGTTATAGTAAATTCATTTAATTTGGTAACATCTATATTTTTTTTATTTATTTTAGATGAATTTATAACAGAAGTAGTTGCAATAATAGGCTTTACTGGCACCTGTTTAGATATTTCAAGAATTTTAAATTTTTCAGTTTTGTTTTGTTCTTTAGTTGACGTAGATTCAATTAACTTGGTAACTTCTATACCACTTGTACTACTGCTGTTATCTAGTGAACTACTTGTGTAGTGAGGATCTATATTTTTTTTATTTATTTTAGATGAATTTATAACAGAAGTAGTTGCAATAATAGGCTTTACTGGCACCTGTTTAGATATTTCAAGAATTTTAAATTTTTCAGTTTTGTTTTGTTCTTTAGTTGAAGTAGATTCAATTAACTTGGTAACTTCTATACCACTTGTACTACTGCTGTTATCTAGTGAACTACTTGTGTAGTGAGGATCTATATTTTTTTTATTTATTTTAGATGAATTTATAACAGAAGTAGTTGCAATAATAGGCTTTACTGGCACCCATTGTTTAGATATTTCAAGAATTTTAAATTTTTCAGTTTTGTTTTGTTCTTGTTTTTTAATTGAAGTAGATTCAATTAATTTTCTAACTTCTATACCACTTGTACTACTGCTGTTATCTAGTGAACTACTTGTGTAGTGAGAATTTATATTTTTTTCATTTATTTTAGGTGGATTTATTACAGAAGTAGATGCAATAATTGGCTTTACTGGCACCTGTAGTTTAGATATTTCAATAATTTTAAATTTTTCAGTTTTGTTTTGTTTTTGTTCTTTAGTTGAAGTAGATTCATTTAATTTGGTAACTTCTGTACCACTTGTACTACTAATGACATTTATTTGACTACTTTTGCAACAATTGTAGTTGTTAGGATCTTCCAATGAATCTAAATCCATATTAGTTTCTATGATTTATCAGATTGAAAATCATTTATTTCTTCAGTATGATTACCATTAAACCTGAAAAATATCTTAAATTGATTAAAATGTCTCTAATTAATATATTATTGTTATGTATATAGTTTGTCAATTATGGACAACAATCAGATATTCTCAGAGTAGATCCAATACAAAAAATTAATAATAATATATTGAATCATTAATTATATTGACTTGCTAATATTGGTTAAACATTTGTTTGTCTGCATGTGTTGTCTCCATCTTACAAAATATTTAAAACATAGCAAAAACTGATTTGCGAGGGAACGAACCAAGAAGGCTATAGTCATAACTAAGAAACAAAATTTTCCCCACATTAAAAGGATTGGCTGTGTAATATCTTTTTTTTTTGTTATCACTTATATGAAAAATGTTCTTATTGTTTGTGTTTGTCAGACTTAAATAACTTTTTTTGTAGTTTCGATACCTATCAAAAAAAAAATAAAAACTATTGGTATTGCAAGGCCAAAGTTTTTCTTTTTATGTGGTAAAAATGTTGTTTCTTAGTAATGACTGTAGCCTTCTCGATTTTTTCCCCGGGCAAAATGGTTTTTGCTATGTTTTATATTTTTAAGACAGAGACAACATGTGCGGTTGTGGCGTTCTCTTAAAAAACATGTTATGTAGGTAGCTCTACTCTAGTATAAGCATTATTATTATTTTTAATCAATTATAAAAAATAGAATATTTCATTTTAATTCCAACTTATTATGAATAGAATAAATTATTTCATGGCGTGTTCTAGATTAAATAATACTTTATAAAAACAAATTAACTCATCGTGGATGGGCGAGTAGTACGTCTTATCTCAAAGAGGTAAAATGTTCAGGAGAGACAAAAACGTAAACACTGATAACATGTAATCAAGTTACGTCAAAATTACAATTAATTCTTTAATCTCCTCGGCAATTATTATTATTATTAATATAATTATCAATCATGTGTTATTTTTTCAGACTTTTTTTATGTATAAATCGCAAAATTGATTTTTCTTGAACAACGACGTATTACTTGCCCATTGACGTCATGCACCTATATGGGGCTATATCTAACTAAATCACTGAACACATTCAATAAAAAAACAAACCATATAGGTATTCAAGTTTGTACTAAAATAAATTATTAAATATAGTACGTATATAATACTATTATAAGTGCAGTCTTTCAGATTTAGATTTTTAGGTGCATATAAATGCACATTTCAATTTTCAGAACTTATTAATGCATTAGCTTGCGATCTTTGGTCATACATTTTAACTCTAGGTACTTATTATAGTTTTGTACTATTACTTAATAAACATATGTAAGCAACACCAGTCAAAATTTACTGAATTGATGAAAAACATTGTATCTCTTATTTACAGTAGTTCACAACAGTATCTTTTCTGATAGGAAAGTGAATCTAGTTGGTACTTTGGGAGGTTAAAAGTAAATTTATTTCAGTAGTTTTCAAAAGAGGCGTGAAAAACAAAATAAAAATTAAGGAAAAACGGGAATTTTTACACTAGAATCTGTTTTCGAAAAAATCGATTTTGGTTTTCAACTCTTAAACAAATCACCGTAGGTACATGAAATTTTGACTGAATGTTTATATTAGCATTTTCTATACACGATAACGTTTTGAATTATTTTGAACTGTTTAGGCACATTTTCTTTTTTTTTAGTTTTTATTCTACAAATATTAATATAATTTTATTTACTGATTAAAAAAGCTTGAAAATTTAATACAAGGCTCCTACTATATTGTTACACTGGCATTTGAAAAATATTAAAAATCCTAAGTCAAAGTTTTTTTTATAAGCATTTTAAGTTCAAAAATTGACAAAATATGGAAAAATCACGAAAATTAGCAAATTATTTTGAGTTAAGAATTCGTAAAAATTTTTCTTTTTAAATCTTAGATTTGAAAATGTAATACAAGATTCCTTATAAGATTATCTACCTTTATCAAAAAAAAAAAAAATATCTTTAAGAATGTCAAATTAAATTTTTATGAACGTTTGAAATTCAAATTTTTACAACATTGGATACATGAAAATTTCACTGAATATTTAAATTAGCATTTTCTATACACCATATACTTTTGAAAATATTTTGTCTCTTTTTGAGCTGTTAACGGACATTTTCAGTTTTCAATTTTATTAGTTTTTTTTTCTATAAATTTCAATAAAGTTTTATCTGTTAGGCCAAAAAGTGTAAAAATGTAATACAAGGCTCTTGATATATTGTTACAATATCAGTTGAAAAATATTAAAAATACATGGACACAATTTATTTTTATAAGCATTTAAAGATCAAATTTTGACAAAATTTATCAAATTTAAAATTGAATAATTATTTTGTAGTTAAAAATTTATAAAATGTTCAACTTTAATATCTAAGGATTGAAAATTTAAAACAAGATTCCACGTAAGTAGTTAATTCTGTTACCAAAAAATCTAAAAAATAAATAAGCACAGTTTATTTTTATAGTCATTTTAAGTTTATATTTGGACGAAATTACATAATAAAAAACCTAGGATAACTATTTTAGTTATTTTGTTGTGATTGGTGTTATATTATTCGTGGGTACTTGAAACTTCTTAAGTACACTATTATTTATCAATGGAGTATGGACTATGACAGTATCAGGGGTTGTTGTTGACGTATAACGCATTATAAGTACCTAATGGATATTGTGATATGATTAATTTGGAATTTATTATAGGTACTTATTTTAGGTAATTTTTTTTAATACGATAGATAAGTAAATAATATGTCTTATACCTAGACTGACATACCGTCTCCGCTCAGAATCGTTTTTTCTTATACAATGATATTATATCATTGAATTCAAATTTAATACTATCCATTATACAGTGACCCACTTGTAACCTACTGTACAGCAGAGCACCTTTTTTATCGATTAAGTTCACTTTTAACTGCCTATAATAAATATAATAAAGTATTTAATGATGAAATATTATGCCGTGTCATTTATATCATGTTTTTTTTCTCAAAAACGATCAGTTATTATTCTTTGATATTTATTATTATTTATTACTGAACTTATCTATGTTAACTGTATTCAATGCGGTTTTGAAATGCATTCTGCAGGGCTGGAAGTGGTTAAAGCTATTTAAGAAAGTGACTAAGTGACTGAATTTATTCATAAAAGTGACAAAAAAGTTACCTACATACATTTGTTTCATAACAACTTACCAGTTATTAAACATTTGTCTTTGAATCTCTACATACCTATGATTCAATTGATTCTAACTTACTTAACTTTGTTGAAATTACAAAAAAATAATGATAATAATAAACACAAATTTTAATAGCAAATGATTAAATCATATCATATTACCCATTTCAATTTATAATGTTTATAATTTAGAATAATATTCAAGATCATTGTTTAGGAACTTCCTTTATTTTAATCATAACTAAAAAACACACCCATGGTTTGTTATAATAGGAATTTATCCCGGATGGATTTCAAATATGGTAGACTAATAAATATACGAAAGTTTGATTAGGAACATTACATAAAAACAAAGATTTTGGTATAATAATATGTTATACATATAACATGCCTATAAACAGGCCTATTCAACAGCCGTAAGTCATAACACAAGAAAGAGGTGTACTTAATTATAATATTACATTTTTATTATAATTATATAGGTAGGTACTATAATTATATTTATTATTGATTATTGTATTAAATTGTATTATAATTTAATATATGATTTAAGTAAGCAATTAACATTTTTTATATTATATAATATTTTATGTAACTTAAATGTATTATTCAATACAATTTTAATATATTGATACTTCAGTTTTGATATATTTTCATTTATTTTCATCAAGACTTTTTTCCGTGATTCAGGCATGTTACTGTACATTCAAATATGAAGTTGGTGGCCATATGCAGTTTAAATATAAATCTAAGTACATTTTGAAAATAAGTGACATAAGTGACTTATTTTCTAAATAAGTGAATTAAAGTGAGTCAATTTTAAAAAAGTGACTTACCTACTTCCAGCCCTGATTCTGTATTTTTGTGTTAATAATATCAGGAGATGACTTATTGGTTGTATAAAATTTTCTACTTATATTAAAAAAAAATTGTCATATGTATAAAATGATTGGGAGTTCAAATTATCAAATACTATTATCCTTATTAGAATTTATAGAATCCTATTTATGAATATTATTGGTAAAGCTATTAATGTTACAATAAACAAAATTATAAGGTATTACCTAAGATGTACAAAAATTTTTAATAATATTATAAAACATATATTTGAACTTGTTGATAATATTTTACTTTTTGAAATTTGTAACACATATAAAATAAAATATAAATAAATATTTCTTATCTTCCAATATTCTAATTATTCAATTGTCAATTGGGTTGTTTATTAGACAAGATCAACAATCACATTAAATTAATTTGCATATCTTGTGAATATGAGAAAAAAAATAATACTTTTGAAAAATATTTCCATATTTTTTTTTTTTATTTATAATAATTAAAGACCGGATTTATATTCTCTTAAAATACCCAAAATATGATGCTAATATTCTCTAAAAAACCTTCATAATATTCTATCAAAAATTTAAGAAATATGCAAAAATAATCAAAAAACATCATTATATGCTTTATTATGCATTTATTTTTTTAAATTTTATTTTCAATTATATTTTAATAGTGAGATATTAATAAGGTATTAAGAGTTGCATATTATACCTAATGGAATAGTATTGCACTTTAGCAAGAGTAAGAAGTTGGAATATAATATAAATATAACAGTATAGGTAATATTAAAACACAAAAACAAAATTTTGATATTTGAATAATTGATAAACTTATAAGTTGATGTCATCAGTAGATATACATAGATAAACCTTGATAATACTGCGTGTTTTATTTTTATCAAAATGAAAAAAAAAAATAAATTGTAAATGGT